ATCAATAATACCTACATCGAAAGAAACTGTAAAGTGCTTCAGATAATTCAAATGAATTGCTCAGAAACTCAAATAAGACATCATATGGTTCAATGGTTTTGGTCTTTTTTCTTGTTCAAAAATTATTCAATGTTATCTGTCACACAGTGAAACTGGCTTCCTATTTCAAGAATTTAATTCATCTATGGGTACTGGTATTAGTTATGTTCCCCATCATAAATTGTATATATACTGTTAATATGATTTTTATTAGTCTATGTGTTAGAAACTTCAAGTTTTGCATATGCAACAGTAAATCGAGCTTTCTAGTAAAATCCTTCAATTGGCCAAATCAGGATAGAATGCGCTATATTTCTAAAGTTAAATTACGTCTTCGTAGTCAATATCAATCTTATGCCTATCGTTTGTAAAAAGTTATTTAGTTTTTTCCAATCCATGGATAAATTAGGCTTTCTCGTCTGAAAGTTCAATTGGCCAACTAGAGATAGCGTGTGTCATATTCCTCTAGTTAAAACGCACCTCTAGAATTAATTTCAATCATATGACTCTCTTCGTTTAAAAGTTGAATAACTTTTAAACGGACCATCACTAAATTGAACTTTCTTATTAAACAGTTCAATTGACCGAACAGAGATAGTATGCGTTGTGTTCATCTTTTTAAAAGTCATCTCTCGATCGAGTTTCAGTTATATAACTCTTTTCGTTCCACAACTCGATACTTTTCACAAGTTGTACATAAAAGGAACTTTGTATTTCAACACTTCAATGAATCACTGAAGTATTATGTTAAACAATTTTCTCATAGTATATTCTATATGCCAACTTTATCACAACATCATTTCATCAAACCGAGTCTCTGTCATAATTTATTTCTCCGCAACATTTATCCAATTAAACGAAATTCGAATTGAGTATTTCAAATTTTTTATCATAATTGCTTCTTTACTGTTCTTCTATATTCATACATATTATTTAGTACTAATGTTCAATGTAACATATGAAACCATATGATTCATTTTAGTATCCTTGTGAATAATAAATAATCACAAAGTTACTCGTTATTATCGTGACATTCGCATTTCTATATATGAAAAAAAACCGAATAAAAAGAGAAAAGATATATAGAGAAGAGACAATCATTCAGCTATTGATCCCATAAAATACACGCAATAGAAGTGATGAATCAAAACGAACTTTTATAACAGACTATGCATGACTTATTGTCGTTTTTGTTTTTGTTCTTCTCTTTTGATAATTGCTTCGTGATCCATCCGAACATGTCTGTTTGAAAATCGATACATCGATTAGTGGATGACTTTGACCAAGTTAATTGCTGATCATATGAATCGGTCAATTTGTCTGAACAATTAACCATATTTTTAATATGTGACCTTCTTGTCCTCTTTCTCTTTTTTATTTTTTTCTTAGTCCCCTTTCTTTTTTCTCTCTCTTTCTACGAGAATGTTTTCATTGGAAGTCAGCTTCTGCACCAATGGTCAACTCGATTTTATTTTATCTTTTTTTCTCTCCTAACTTCTCTGTTTCTCTTGTTGATCAAGGACTATAAAAGGTCGATATCATACAGCAAAATGTATCATTTTTAATGTCTCATCCTCACTATCAACTTCATCTTCTCTTCATCATGGTTCAATATACTCTTCAATAAGGTCAGTGCATCAAAACATTTTTTTTCCTCTACTATCTTATTCAACTTCTACCATATATATTACTGTAGCCTTTTACATTATTCTCTATTATTAATATTCAGACATGTGTCATTACATATTCTCTTTACACGAATAACAAGTTTGATCAATACATTTCCTTAAAGTTTATATATATGCTACGATGTGAATTGATTTCTACAGATAAAAGCCCATCTACAGAAGTTTGCTTTTCATAAATTTGGTAATATATGTTTCTTTTTGTTCTCTTTTGTTTATATCATACAAGAGTCATTTCTCTTTGTTTTTCCGTCTTAATTATACAAGAGATTTGAACAGCACATGTGCGCTTATCACGACAATGGCCACACATATTCGTTCAGACCTTTCTTTAGATGTTACAACGGCGCATATTTCTTATTGATATGATTCTGGTCGTCAATAATTTTTTTAACTTCTTATGTGTACATGGGGTGACGGTGATTCGTATTTCTTTTTTGTATGAGAATGATAATATGTTTATTTGAACTTTTTTATTTTTAGAAGGTGCTACAAGGGCGCATATTTCTTACTGGTATGACTCTGGTCAACAATACTTTTTTTCCACTTCTTATTTTTATAAGGGGTTACAGTGACGCATGTTTTTTCCGTATGGCTATGGTCATGCATATCCATTCTCTTTTTTTTTCGTGGGATACAGTGGCGAATATTTTTCTTTTGTATCGCTATAGTCATACATGTTTGCTTTCAGTTTTTCTTTTTAGAATCGGTTACAGCGGCGCGTATTTGTCTTCGGTATAGCTATGGCCACACATATTTGTTTCCACTTTTTACTTTTACAGGCGGTTAGTGTAACCCATATTTCATTTTATTATGGCAATGATCATAAATGCTATTTTTCACTTTTTACTTTTAGAATATGTAATGATGGCGCATGTTTGCTTTTTTGTATGACAATGGTCATAAATATTTGTTTTCCTTTTCTATTTTTACAACAGATACAATGACGAATATTTCTTTTTTTTTTGTGTGGCCGTCTGATACGTATTTCTTTTGACTCTTTATGTTTGGAGTGTTTTACAATGGCGCATATTGCTTGCTTTTATGATTATGGTCACACATACTTATTTCTGCTTTTTGTTTTTACAGGGATTACAGTGGCACATGTTTTTTTTGTGAATGAAAATGGTCTAATATGCTTTCTTTTTTAGTTACTTTTTATTTAGAAGGGTGACACATATCTCTTGTTTTTACATGAGAATGACCATATATATTTGTTATCAGTTTTATTTTTGCAAAGGATTATCATTGGGTATATTTCTGTTGTGGATAGCTATGATCATAGATGTTTGTTTGAGCGTTGCATTCTCACATGGTCTAGGGTGGTAGAGATATTTCTTTTGTATGTTCGTGGTCATACATGTTTGTTTACGCCTTTCGTTTTCCGATTTGGTATTCTCATGATAATTTTTATAATCAATGTCACACATGTTATTATTCGTCTTTAATTTTCACGATGGGCCACAGTAGGTGCGACTTTTTTTCCTCTCACCGTGATGATGCGTGTGTATTTTACGTTTTATCTAACGGGTTAGGTTCGTACAGTTTTTTGATTCTTTAACTGTCAAATGTCATCTTGTCTTATGAGCATATGTTGTACCCATACGGTTCGTACGAATCCCAGCCGTATAAATGAGAATCAGTATCCTGGAGAAACATTTTATTGGTCAGGAGCTGTTGACAACTCGAGGTAAATTTCAATACAAAACTCAGCGACTAGAAGGTGATAATTCAGTCTATCCCTACACTTCTTTTTTAGTTCGTCTCTTGTTTGAGATCTTATCAAGACCTGTTATAGCATGCATCAGTAGAAAAGCTTTTTGTGATTTCGGCAACAAGGGCACAGCAATTCATACAACATCTGGCTATTTTACTATGAAATTCTCTTTGACATAAATAACAGAGCTGGTTTATATCAATTTTTCACAAAGAGGTCAGTAACGAGTTGACTGTTGGTAAGCCAAATGCTTCTATAGCTAGACGAGCATTGCTTTTGACGAATCGGCTGAGAATTGTACTACGACGATCACGTGTGTCTCCGTTAAACTATTACCTTATTCCAACCGTAAAAGTCTTGTGTGGCAACATTTTTATCGTTCAATAGTGGTTTTTTACTTGCGCATGAAATAAAAACGGCTAACGTTGCAGTATCACTGATGGTACAAAAGAAGGATATTGGTCATCGCTTTGTCTTCTCTTTATATGATTATGTTCGAGGCATCTCACCCATACTACTAACACCACCTTTCAAATCGTTGTAGTATAAAGTTATTTCTGGCTTTTTGTTCGGTTTTTCACTTATAGCTTTATCGTAGTGCATAGATGATAACAAGATCAGGGCTTCGCACTTCTTTAGTACATAACTGACTAGCGACAGTTGTAGATCAGAGCAAAAACTCGATGATTATGTTAGGCGCTTTGAAGTAACATATAGCTCTTTAGGAATATCTGTCTTTTTTTATTTGGACTGTGCCAACAATACTATTCAACATAGCGAAAAGATATTCTGGGAGTTCTGTACTAGTAAAATAATTATTCGTGGTACTGATTTGATCAGCATAGCACCAAAGATAGTTTTATTGCTTTAATAGCTAGCTTGTGATGTTTCTGCTCACAGTCGTCGTCATTCTGTCCGATTAACATCTACAATGAACTTCACCACTCAGCATCTATCCCGTACATGACCACAGGACCCAAATACTTCCAATGTGCACTTGCCAGGCTTATTCGTAATATCCTATCGGACGGTACCATGTCCGTAATAATAGACTCGCTTGCAAGCCACCTTGTTGTATTGTTATCATTCATTTCCCTTTTTTGTGCTGTCGAATCTACACTATCTTGGGGGAGGCTAGAAAGTGATTTTTCGTTAGTGTTGCACGAAATATAGATTATCGAGTAGCCATCAACCATATTTCGCAATGCTTTCATTCCTAAAACTAATAAAACCTCCCATAATTACGAATCTGATAAATGCCCATATCTCATCTTTATCAATCAATCATTCATGCATATTAAATTTCTCGTAACTTTGCTTCAGGAAACTTTGCCGAAAAAATTTGTTTCATAGTCTTCACTCTTATAGATAGAACCTTGGGAGATAGAAAATGAAACGATCGTTTGAACAACTTAATCCTACTCATAGACGATGAATGAAACAAAGCTTCTTATACATTAATAAAATATTGTGTTTTACTTTAGATTTTTTCATTAGTTTGCTTTCCTATTTGTTTTCTCCTTTTTTTCTAGATAAAATTCTTCTTGTCCATTTAAGTAATGGCATCACAAAATAAAAATGCATCTAGTCAACTACAGGTAATATGAAAATACTGGATATCTATATTTAAGAGATAAGTATCGCCTTTCTTTCTATTATAGAACGAAACTTTACAAAATTTCGCTAAAATACCTATCGACCTACCATGGAATCTCAAAGATAAAAATAAATCAACAGAAAAAATCGAAGTAAATACTACTTAGATAATTCTTCTATGTACATTCTTCTAATATGTTTTCAATTTTTCTAGCCCATGGAAGTAGAAAATTTATCACGACGAATGAGTCAATTATTTACTAATACGACAGAGAAAAATGAACTCTTAATGAAAGATATCAAAGCTGAAATTGAAAAAATCCCAGATTATCTTTCAAAGCGAAATAAATCTTTCCTAGAAATAATACATCAAGCATTATCAAAAAGAGCAATAACAAGAAACACACAACCATTATCAACAGCAAAGTTAGATGATACTGCTGATGAAGTAGATAAATTAAGGAAAATAGCTATTTTAATTTATAAAATAATAGTTATACAAACTTATCAATTACTCTGGGCGGCCTATTTAAAATCAGGTTTGGGACAATTAGTTATACCACCACAAACACAAGCATTTTATTCAATAAAAGTGCCCATATGGCCACAAGAACTTCAAGCAATGTTAGAATCAACAAAATTGAACAAAGCACATGATAATGAAATATATTTAACATTCGTTAATAAACAGTTAGATGAGTTAGATTATCAATTAAAACAATGTCAAAAACAATTGAATATCAAAACCAATAGCTTTCCAGGTTATACATTAACTATCCAAAAAATCATTGAATTATATATTGAAAAAAATCTTCATTCTTTACGGATGGAAATCGAAAATAAAGTGGAACTTATTCATTACGATTATTATATTCGAGCATTAAAATTAGAATATTTGCGATTGAAACCAAATGAATATCAAGTTTGTTTGTTTTTCTATCAAAGAAATTTCGCCTTTAATCTTTCTAGTACTTATAGGAACGTTTCATGAAAGAAATGTGTCAAATTAAATATGCGCAAGAAACAACAGAACAAGAATTTATTTTTTTAAAGCAACAAATCAATTATTATAATTCACCGAATCACTCATTTGACTCTTGTTCAATAAGTTCTTGTTCATTAATTGATTCTGTGGATGATCAAAATATTAGAAAAGAATTCTTTAGACAATATAAAGATATTACTGAACAATCTAGAGCAACTTTATTCAATATTTATATGAAATCAGCTGAAGAACAACGAAAAGAATATAAAGAAAAACTTGATGTTTACGTACAAAAAATGAATTCATCTCAAAATGCATTGAATGAAAATGAAAGATTAACGTCAATCATGATTCAACTTATTAATGAACGTTGCCAAAGAATTAGTGAACGTATCAAATGTATCTATACATTTAAAACTGAATCTCTTCGTTAGAAACTTTAATTTTTTTGTTCTAACTTTAAAATTATATATCACCAATGTTTTCATTCATCCTCATTGTAGTTCTTAATAACGTTTATTTCATCACTACGTATTTTCCTTCTTTTTCAGATAAATTGATCATTTATCACTCGTTTACGCATATAAACAGTTCATTTTCCTAGTAATGAATGTGAACAATATCAATACAGAAGATAATGTTCCAATTCCAAATCAACCACTACAAAAGAAAAAATGCCACGGTAATCGAAAAGATCAACGTTTTAGAAAAAAATGTCGTGTACGGGGAATAAATCCAGAAAAAATAGAACAGAAACTTGCCCGACGAAAACAAATCAAACAGAAGAAAAATTCAGCAAAGCGCAATGTTAAAGAAACAAACAAGTCGGCAGTGACAGTACCCAATTCAGCAAATATTCGAAATCAACCGACAACAACAACTATGACGACGAGAAGAGGTATTAATAAACGTAAAAGAGATACCTCTTTACAAGAACTCAATACCAATCAGGCGTTAACAAAATCATCACCTTCAATCACAACAACAAAACCTTTAGCGAAAAAAACAAAGAAGCATCATAGGAAAACAATTATTAATTCATGTATCTTGATAATCAATGGTGATTCAGTGAATAGGAATTATCGGTTGGTAATCCCATCCGTCGATTGGTAACAGAAGAAAGTTGATTTCTTGTTTTTTTCCTTCATTTTAGACGACCATTGTATTTGACACAATCATCATATAAACTTTTTCAAATATTAAGTAAAAGATTAAATTATTCACTGAAGAAACAAGATCAACAAGAATTTATCTATAAACGATTAAATTTATTCGATCAACAATATTATCTGGAAATGGAGCAATGTTTATGGCAATCTTATTTAGATATTGGTTTACAAGAACAGGTGTGGCCGGTAAGTTTCCTCTGTTTATTGAAAGTTCGAGTCAAATCGAAAGTTTTTATTTTTTCATCAATCTAGGATGAACTCTATACAATAGCTAAAACGACAGATGATAAAAAAGTATGCCATGATTTTCTTGTGAACTATGTAGAAAATTTGAAAAAACAAATAATGGACTGTCAATTGCAATTAAATGAGCAATCTCAGTCGTGTCCAGTGACAAGGTTGACTTTAGATCAAATTGACCATTGTTTGAAAGAATATGTTCATAGCGAAAGAAGTTATCTATCAGTGCAAAATAATGATCAAATAATTAAATTTAAGTCTTATATTCGTGAAAAAGATTTATTTAAAACAATTACTTCTTATCAATTAAGCATCGATTTGGTAAGCGCACAGTATATCATCGATAATAGAAAGATTTTTATGAATCGCATAGTTGTTTTCTTTTTCTTCATAATTTTCTTTCAGAATGAATACATGCATAAATTAATAACCATACGAGAACAACAAGGTGAAATTTGGAAAGATTATCTTATGTTACAAATGCGAATTCTATGCAAATTTTTACCACAAAACTTTGATCATTTAGAAAATTTTATTGGATCTATCAATTATTTACCAGTTGACAACACTCAAAATAGTATTGAAATAAAAAATAAACGTTATAAACTGATACAAGAAACAAAACGTACTTGGTTAAATATATTTTTCAATGTTTATGAATACAAACTACAAAAATGTGAACAACAACATCAAAATGAATTGAAACAACTAGAAACACAACTATTCAATAATAATATTACAAACGATGGAGTATCTGTCTTGAATAAGATGAAAGAATACATAACTTTCCGGACAATTCGATTAAAACAAGATATCGATGATCAAATATCATCTGCTCGAGGTTTACTACTTCAAAAGCGTCATCAATCATCATCAGCTAAAAATATGATTGGTGTATCACCTGAACCATATATTGATCTTATTGTCAATCCATTCAATACATTACAATGGAATCAACTATCACTTGGTATGTTGTTTTAATATTAAACACGAGAAAAATAAAGTTATGATGATTTCTTATGATTTAGGCCCCTCTTATATAAGATTAAATCAAAGTGCTATTTGTCGAGAAAAAAAACAACTGAAAGAAATACAAAAGGAACATAAAGCGATTTATAAGAAAGTTGAATCGAATCTAATTAATTATCAAGGTATTCCATTGAAAGCATCCGTTTTTAAACAATATTCAACGAATCTTTTTAATTATCTTCGACATTGCTATTTGGCTCCATTATCATATAAAGATCACCTAGAAGCTCAACAACAGGCACATATTGCTAGATCAATTCGAACGTTAATTAAAGAAAAAAATCTAATTATTCGTCTTACTGATAAAAGTCATAATTTTTATATTGGTTCAGAAACGGAATTTAACAAAAAGGTTCAAAAATTTTTCGCTGATACAAATGCTTTTATGGAGTTGTCTGAAAATCCATTTAATGATATTGCTAACAAAGTCATTCAATTCCTTAATAGACTTCGTGGAAAAGACTTTATTCGGAAATGGCACTATGAACAAATGATGCCTGATCGAACTAAAACTCAATTAGCTCATTTATATTTTAATCCTAAAACACATAAGGTAGAATAGATATGTTTTTGGTTTCAAGTAAATTTTTATTTACTCTATTTCATATTAAAGGATAACATACCCGTTCGACCAATTGAAAATACTATTCATGCTCCAACAACAAATATTTCAAAATTTTTAGATAAAATATTACAACCTATATTCAATGACAAATGTAAAGAAACAAATATTATTGATGGTGCTTCTCTCATTGAAAGACTTCATAAATATATTCGAAAAGGTCTGTTTAAATCATCAACTCTTTTTTGCACATTTGATATTCATAACTTATACACAATGTTACCACAAAAAGAATCCATTAAAATACTTGGTGAATTTCTTGAAGTACATGGATATACAAAAGTCAAAGGAATTGATGTTACTACAATAAAAGAATTAGCAACAATTGTATTACAAGAAAATGCTTTTGTCTATGATAAAAAAGTTTATAAACAAACAACTGGTGGAGCAATGGGTTCATCGTTTACGTTAACTCTAGCAAATATTTTTATGTGGAAATGGCAAAAAGAGTTCGTACGTCAACAGGATATAACAAATGAATTTTATGGAAGGCAAGTGTAAATAAGATAAACAAAATAAATTTTACATTCATAACTTCATAGATATATTGATGATGTTTTTATGACATGGAATCGGTCTGAAAAAGAGTTACGAAAACTATTAGATAACGCCAATACATGGCATTCAAATATCAAGTTAGATTATAAAATTGACAAAAGTCTACCTTTTCTTGATGTACTTCTCACAAATAATAATGGTATTTTATTAACATCTGTCTATCATAAACCAGCAGCTGAACCCTATGTTACACCATTTCTTTCTGATCATCCTCGTCATGTCTTTAAAAATATTATAGAAAATGCACTTACCAAGGCCGTTCGGTATTCATCTACAATACNACTCGCTACCTTAAATCTCTGTATATATATACGTCACTCTTTTTCAAAAGATTGATCAATATTAAAATTTCTTTATATCCACTACCTATATTATGTACGAATAGATTCCAAACATATCTTTTCATGATTAGCTATGCAGTAAGCGAAACGCATCCAATGATGCTTTTGAATATTATTCTGTTATAAACACAAACAAATACCATAGAGCAACAGTTTCGGCTTACTGTAAAGAAGTGCAAGAAAATGAATTTCAAATTATTGTGCTCACTGAATCTTTGCTGTTGCTATAAAGAAATTCTCAGTGCATATTATTCTCAAGAAGATAATCTCTCATTAGTGATTGACTGGAAGATAGTTTAATGATTCCGATACTGGAGGAAATTGAAGTAGAATTGTATAGAAGAAAAAAGATAGTAATCATGGATAATCTTCGTTTTTTTTATCAGTAAAGTTCCTTGAAATTCACATAGCAGAATTAAACGGTTTTAGTATTGTAATCTGCTTTGCGAAGCAGTTCAGTCTCATGAAAATCTCTTCCGGAAGAGTGAGTGTGTCTCCGATGAGCGAATACAAGAAATTAGTCCGTGAATAGGTAGAACATTTCTCTTAAGAACTAGGTTCAAGGAAATGGAGTGAAACCGTCCATAACTATGATGTTCATTTTGTCTTCGTTTAATTTTTCTGATAACAAGGAAGTACAGAAAATCGCACACCATACCTTCCATATGTAAAAAATACACAGCCTGCAAGGTACAAGTTGCAAGCCCTACTATTTGTTCGAATAAATCTGAAAAACACACTAGTGATTGACCGTTTTCACTAAAAGAATCGTGAAAGGTTTTCACTGTCACAGAAGTTCCATTAGTGAAACAAATCGGCATGCAGTGTACTACTCCGAACACACTTCATACCGACCCTTAAGAAAGTTCTAAATGATTCTTGTGTCAGTATCTTAAAACAAATATTCTAGACACCATAATCCACTAAACATTTCGGAGATAACTCGTGATAACACATATCTCGATCACAGGCACTGTCATACATTGTAGCTGTCATTACATGAGTGCCCATTGAGATTCTCATTGGAATAGAGTATTACTTGTAGTACCTGATTCTGCAGATTAATGCAGACACAACCGCGCAGATCAAATCCGTCGGATCATTTCCTTAAGTAAGGTCGAAACGCGTCCTAAGCTGCGCGACACACTTTGTTTTCATTCAAAACAATGGAACAGATCCTACATTTACAATAATACTTAAGAGTAGAACAGAATAACTTCCTCTCGACTTCATCAGAATTTTTCATTAAAAGATCTTTCATCGAATTAGAAATACTAAACCACCTGATGAAACTGACTCAGCATTAGTCGAAACACGTCGTGGTGTCTTCTATATATCCTGTTTTTCTTCAAGCTTTTCAAGAACAGGTTCTCGATTTATCATCCGACTTCTGAACAGAACAGAGTAAAATTGTCTCGAATTAATTTGGAATTTTTTCTCGAAAATTTTCTGATCAATCTAAACATACTCAGACACATGATGAGCTTGGCTAAGCAACAGTCAAAACGTGTCGTGGTAGCTTCTACGCACCCATATCAATACCTACACCCTCTTTTATCTTCTATTATATTAAAAATATTAGATAGGAATTATTATGTTTTGAGTCTTAACTTCTCAGTTTATTTGAATGAGTTATGATTCTGCTATGTAATAATAAATTATAAACATGCCTGATGAGTCCCTTAAGCAAGGACGGAACGTCATGTGATGCTTTGAATGTAATCTCTTATCTCCTATTTTAGTGAAGTCCACCTCTGAATATGAACAAGGGATAGGGACATGCTAGATGTCGCTAATATACGGTGACCACTACCCATTCACCGCTTTTCTTCTCAGAAATGATTTTCAATATATATACCTTCTCCGAACATGAATAAATGTGATACCCGTATCACATTGTATCCTACTGCATGCGTTTGCAGTACGAACCAGACGGTGAGACTCAAAGCCGAGTCAAAACACGTTCTGGTAGCCTACATCACCACTGTTGGTGAACATTTTTGAACATTCATTTTTTAACGTCGGTAAAATCAACTGCAACACTGTGAAGACTATCCGAATAGCTTCATTCTTCATAATCTGGATCACATCCGAGTCATTTACCAAAGTACTAGATCAAGGTTCAGATCTAGAAAAGAGTAAAGCTTGTTTTCTGAATCCTAACATATATAAAAAGAAACAGTCACAATGTATTTCATGCCATTTCTCTTTTCATGATAATAGAATATTCTAGACATTGAACTTCGACTTATTTAATGTGATACCATTGCATTCAATCAAACAGGACAGTACTTATTGCAGTTTCCCCTTTTCAGTCATAGAATTAAACCAACAATGGCCTTTCATTCCTATTCTCGATAACTTTTTCATTTCATGCGATATATAGCTAGACAATTCGATTTGTCGACTTGGCAATAATAGTCAGTTTGTCTTTAGTTTCATTTCGGATTTATGCAGTGCTAAAACTACCTGAGGAATGACCCTTGAGACAGGTCGAAACTATAGTTGTAGTTTTTCTTAAATATAATACACATCCTTCTTTTTCGAGTTAGATTAATTCAAACGGATACTTGCCACTTGATAAGATTTTCAGAAAAATTGAATTACTAAATAGTATTGCGGTAACTTCTACATCCTTGAGCAAGGTCGAAACGCGTCGTGTGATGCTCTCAATCCAAAAATCTTCTATAATAAAATAATATTATTCTGGATTTTCTTATTGCGAATTAGTTCTTAACTTCTTCAATTTTATTGGAGAGTTCTGAATTTAAATGTAATTATAGATTGTAAACATGCCTGATGATAGACCCTTAAGCAAGGTCGAAACGCGTCGTGTGATGCCCTCAATCTCAAAACTCTATTATAATTCAATAATTTGTCGGGTACTTGATCTTATTCAAGTTACCCGATAATGTATTTTTATGTGATTGTCTATTAGCTTGGGACTTTTTCTCATAAAGCTTCTGACTTTAGCTTTCACTGTAGGAGAGTTATTACTTTTCTTGTAACATCTTTCAGTCAAACATAAGCAATTAATAAGTTCACTTTGAGCACTTGTCGAAACCGGTCTTGCTAGCTACTTGACTATAAACTCTAACATAACTATTTGGATCTTTCAAGTTGATGCTTCTGCCACTTGATAAGAATTTGAGACAGTAACATCGAAATAACTTAAAGGTATCGTGGTAGCTTTACCACACCCACACCCGTTTGTCGTGGAACGGTCAATTATTCTACACACACACTTATATTGTGATAGAAAATATTTGATTTTACAAAAAAATTTTTGTATCATCGACATAATAGTTATGGACATATATAATTCTTTCTCTTTTATCGAGATTCATGATAATTATGTATTGTTAATACTATTGATGATTTCATGTGCAAAAATATAACTTTATGGTTATTGTATCAGAGTAGTTCCTATGTAACATCTAGTTCCTCCTATTTGAACTACTCGTAATAAGATATAATACCTAAGTTTGAGTTTCCACCTGATGACGTTCTGACAAAACTGAAACAAACGCCCGTTTGTCGTGGAACGGTCAATTATTCTACACTCACACTCATTATAGTGTTTTGAATTTTTCTTCGATTAAGTTGAATTATTCTTGAGTTTTTTGTATTTGATTTGAACATTGACTTTTCGAATCAATTGTACAATTACTTGCCACTTGACAATAACTTAGTAACTTTTGAAAAACTTCAAGTTTCGTGGTAACTTCTCACACCCACACCCACACCCAAAACTGTCAGTAGTGTTATCTGTATCTGATTAGAACTATTTACAGATATTGCATTAAATAAGAGCTAGTACCGATCTTCTAACATTGTAAAGACATACATTCCAACCCTACAGCATACATGTTCATTATTCTTAGTGTGTGTCTTTTTTTGTCATCAGTATCTTGAATAATTACTAGAGATAGAGACTATACTTCTTCGATATTGGCATATTTGCAAAGGTTTCTATCTAAATGTAAATCTTTTACCATACGATATGTTAACGATCACTTTTGGTTAATTAGTCTATTCATGACTGACAATTCATATGATGCTTGAAACCTAGGATTTCTTTAATCAAAATTAACTTATGATTCTAGATAAAATTTATTTCTTTCATTTCACTATATCCAGACATAAATTTGAACGAGAACACATGGATGAGCAACATCTGAATGTAAATGTTAGTCAAGTAAATAGAAATTTCATATCTGTTTTCAATGAAAAGATTGATTCATTTTAGACATCTCATGAACAAATTTTATCACAACGATTAAGTCAATTATCATGTTCTCAGTCATCTCAACAGCAGAACATAAGCCAGTCGGATAAAATTCCACGGTATTTATCGAACAAGAATGAGTCTTATGAAAAATTAATTAACACACTTTATTTTACAATTATATCAACAATAACTACTACAATAACATCTTCAGCTTCTGTACGATATGAGCAAGACTTACGACAAATCGCTGAATTAATACATAAAATTAAATCTCTAGAAATTCTTCTATCGTTATGGATGACTTATTTAAAATCTGGTACAGGTCAATTACATTTCAATCAAAGAGGTCCATCAGTTTGGCCTAATCAAGTGAAAACAATTATTAAAAAAATAAATAATAGAGTTGGTAATGAAAATGATGCATGTATGCAATTAGTCCAAGAACGTCTAGATAAATTCAGAACTAAAATACAACAATATGAAATACGATTAGATAATCTAAAACATCGTTTACAAGGTGATAAAGATACCATCTTTCGTACTATTGAAACATTTATTCAACAAAATCAAGAAAATTTTCATCAAAAGATTGAACATAAAATTAAATTAGTTCAGTATGATTACAACGATCGCGTATTGGAACTTCAATTTCTTGAACAAAATCCAAATGAATATTGTGTAAGATTTCATATCATTATATTCTTTTTATGTCAAAATAAATCGTATCGCTTTTATTTGTTTTTCAACATTTTAATTAGATCAAATTGTATAAGCATCTTTATAATGCTCGATATAAACAAGATGTTACTAAAGAAGAAGTACAATTAGTTAAAGAACGTATCATTCATTATAAGAATAATAATCATAAATATCGTCAACAAATCATCTCTCATCCAACATTTATTAGTACGAGTATGAATCAAATTCTTCAACAACAAATATATGATCAATTAACAAGTGTGGTTGAACAAGCTAAAGTGGACATGTTGAATCTCTATGTTAAAACAGCTGAAACGCAAATGAAAACTTATGACAAACAGTATAACAAAGAATTAGACAAAATGTTTATAGAACGAAAGCAACAATCCTTAGCAGTTGAACAACAATTAACTACTGCCATGCTTAATCTACTTGAAAAACGTGCTGATAATAGACAAAAACGTATCAGATGTGTAAATCAATTTAAAATTCATTGTCTTCATTCGAACTCTAATCATTAAAAATTATACAACTTTTTTCATTCATTTAAATAAAACAATAGTTGAGTGGTAATCAAACTGTATTGTAAATAATCTTTTTCGTTTCAGATAAATAAACTTATCTTTTAATCAATCAATTCCTTTTTCAAAAAACAAAGCAATGAATATTGACAATACAAATAAAACCAATGATACTCAACTTCTACAAGAACTACAACCAACACGGAAAAAAAAGTGTCATGGTAATCGAAAAGATCAACGTTTCCGACAGAGTTGTCGGAAGAAAAATATGGATGAAACAACTATAGCACAGTTAATTGAAGAACGAAGAAATGCTCGCCAAAGAAATCCAACAGATCAAGTAGCGAACAGAACTGATATTACTATACAACATATGCAAACAACAATTTCAGATATATTAATAAGAGTAAGTAAATTTGATAATAATAGATTCATTTCTATTGTTTTTTCCTAACAGCATGAGCAACCATTAGATACAAATATAAATGAAAGTAGAATAACGACGACTGCAATAAAAAAATCGAATAAACGTAAAACAGATGCTATACCAAAGGAGAAAATCTATAATGTTCCTAAATCATCAAGTCAATTATCATTTGTTCAATCATCTACAAAGAAGATGAAGAAGAAGAATAAGAAACATAAGAAGATGAAAAAGAAGAAAAGACGACGAAGAACAATGAAGAACATTATCAAAAGTAAAAATCATCGGTATGTTTAGTTTTTTGTTTTTCATAACGTCATCCATGGCAATGTCATTATTTTTCTTTTCTGTAGACAATCAGCTTATTTAAAGGTATCCTGGAACATGCTAATGAACACTTTAAAAATAAAACTAAAACATCCTCTTAAAAAAAGAAATGAACAAAAATTCGTCTATACACGATTACATCTGTTCAATGAAGAATTTACTTTAGATCTTGATCGATATTTATGGCAATCCTATTTGGATATTGGATCACAACAACAACCACAAATCTGGCCAGTAAGTAAATAACATTATCCATCAAAATATCTATTTTTTTTTAATTTTAAGAGTGAAGTTTGTAAAATGGCCAAAACCAATGAATCTGATTTATGTAAGCAATATATCGTTGAATCTTTGAATGATATTAAAATTAATCTTGATCTATGTTGTGCTAAATTAAATACACAAGCTCAATCATGGATATCAACACTTCCTCCACGAGAAATACTCGATGATGATCTTAAAAGATTTGTTCACCTGCAAAACAAACATTTGTCCAGAACAATAGATAAGCAATTAATACAATATAAAAATATTGTAGAGGAAAAAAAAGTATTACAACAAATATCACTCTATCTAACAGCGAACGATCAGGTATGTGAATAAATCTATTAAATCTTTCACATTGATCAAATTATTGAACATATTTGAATTAGATACTCGTGAATGAATTAATCAATTTACAACAAATACAAACACAACTCATGGAAGAATTCGTCATGCTAGAACAACGAATATTATGCAAATTATTACCTTGTAACTTCGATTCCCTAGACCGTTTAATTCAATCTCGTGTTTACACACCTTTAATGCATGATATAAGTTATATTGAATTCAAAAATCAAAGTGATAGAATTATACAACAAGTCAAACGTACATGGTTAAATATTTACTGTAAGGCTTATGAAATGAAAATTCAAGAATATGAAGAACAATACAAAGAAAATCTACATTTGTTTCAACTACGATTTGAATGCAAAAATAATGTCGATCGAATATTTCGTCTCGATTCAATCAAAATTTATCTAAATAATCGAAAACAAAGAATGATTAAAGAGATCTTTATCAATATGTCAGCTTATCGAAGAAAATTACTAAATTATCGTAAACGTTTATCCAAAGCAAAGAAAACTGTAGACGTATCTCCGCAACCAATTTTCTATCTATTATATAATCCTTTCAATGATCAGGAACGTGATTATCTTTGTAAAGGTAAAGTTGTTCTCGAATTTTATCAAGAATCACTTTTGTTTTGTAACATTATCATTTATTTTTAGGTCCGAATTATATAAGAATAAATCAAAGTGCTCTTAGATCTTATAAGAAACGAAAACAGTTAACGAAGAAAGAACATGATAAAATTATTAACAAAGTGAAAGATTACCTTGCTATACATTATCATATAGATCGGACAGTACCAATTTATGATATTTACTCAGAAAATCTTCAACTTTGTCTTGATCTTCGTTACATGACTCCCTTATCGATGTCTGATAGAATTCGTGCTCAACGCGAAAAAAATATTGTCAAATCGATTCATCGCAAATTGAAAAAATATAAATATCTTATTCGTGTAACCGATAAAAGTGGTGTATTTTGTGTTCTTCGTACTCAAGATCATGAACAGAAGGCAATTGAATATCGTGAAAAAACGAAAGCTTATAAAGAATTATCTTCGAATCCATTTGAAGCAACATTAAATAAAGTTATTCGATTACTCAATGATCTACATGCGAAAAAGGGAAAAGTTAGAGCTTGGCAATATAAGGAAATGTGGCCCAATGTAAAGACATGTAAATTAGCGTATATGTATTTTAATCCTAAAACACATAAGGTAAGTCAATAGCTAATTCTCTTTAAATTTTAAACAGGAACAATATATTTATTAAATCAATAGGATGGTACACCATTTCGACCAATCATGCATACTATTGATTCACCTACTACAAATATTTCACGCCTTTTAGATCGATTAATACGACCAATATTTAACGAGAAAGTCGCAGATACGAGTATTATTGACGGTGCACATCTTATTAAACGTCTTCGCCAATATGCTAATTATGGTCATTTAAAACCAACCACTTTATTCTGCACTTTTGATATTAACAATTTATATACAATGTTACCACAACAACAATCACTTGATATTCTTGTAGAATTTCTTCAAACTTTTCAAAAGTCACACGTACAAGGAATGGATCTTCCAACTATTCGTGAATTAGCTCGTATAGTAATTGAAGAGAATGTTTTTGTCTATCGTAACAAATACTATCAACAGATTATTGGTGGTGCTATGGGATCACCATTTACATTAACATTAGCAAATATTTTTATGTGGAAATGGGAAAAAGAATCAATTTGCAAAGAATTACCATCATTTGAAATTTATGGCCGGTATGTTAGCTACTCAGTTTTCTACGACTCAATTTTTCTTTCTCATTATAGATATATTGATGATATTTTCTTTACATGGAATGACTCACAAGAAAAACTTGAAGAATTGTTAAACAAATTGAATTGTCATCACCCAAATATTAAACTAGAGTATAAAATTGGTCAATGTCTTCCGTTTCTTGATGTTATTCTAAGTAACAATAATGGTATTCTTTCAACGTCTGTCTATCATAAAGCAGCTGCTGAACCTTATGTGCTGCCATTTGCATCTGATCATCCTCATCATATATTTCGAAATATTATTCGAGCTGCTCTCGTACGTGCTATAAGATATTCATCAACATTCGAAGCATTTAATATTGAACGACGCAATATACGATTAATGTTACTGTATAATGGGTAAGCTTTCTCGACTAAACATAAACATAAGATATATAATACATTTTGTTTTCGCCGTCAAACTATAGTTATCCATCAACATATATAAATAGTCAATTTCGAAAATTTTTCGATCAATACAATCTATATGATTCATATTCTTCAATTCTACCAATGATCACTGATGAAAATCAATTTATTCGTATCTTTAATCAAGTTTCACCGATTCCAACTACAAGACAATCACAAGTGGTTCTAGACATAGCATTGTCACAGATTGAACACTATGATGATGACCAGCAACAAAACCTCTTACCACAAAATCCGACTGTCAAAAAACATGACTACAAGAAAAAGTTCAAAAACTGTCTCTTTCTCCATTACACATACGAGGAGAGATTCCGACTACTTAAGCGCGAAATACAAGAAACATACATAACTACTTTCCAAAGCACACACGTCCGTCATGTAAAGCAAATAGTTGGATGTCGAAATAATCCAAAATCAAAAGCCGAATTCATACGACGAAAACGTCCACATGAATCATACCGTCGACATGATTTCAAACCAAGTAAGTCCATCAAATTCCGATAAACCACCCTATTTTAAATGACTATTCAAAAAAAATCCACACTGTTATCTAGAAAAAAGACTTCTTGCTAAGTCCACAACAACAACCGCATAAGCCACGACTACAACAATATCAAGACGAAAAAACACTTCATATTCACTAACAAAACATTTCAAATATTAAATGTGTTCTTTATTTCATCTCTAATAAACTAGCAACTACACTACACTCATTAAATAAAAAAAATCAAGAATACCGGTCTATTCTGACTCATTCTAGATAAAAGCAATCAAACACAAACCATCAGCCAACACTTCAATCCACAAGCGCCCAACAACAAACCAAAAAGACAGCAACTAAAAAAAAAACCACAACAACATTCCACACCCAACAACAAACCAATACATCAGTAAGTGGATAGACGGTCGTGGTATGCTTTCTAAATTGTATCACATTTTCAAATTTCTACATTTCGTCAAAAAATTTTGCTTCATACGACAATGTAGAAGATATTTTAATTGATTCTTGTAATCGATTAAGATGTCTTAAGCCACTTGAGAAGTCCCTTAAGCAAGGACGAAACCGGTCGTGGTATGCTTTCTAAATTGTATCACATTTTCAAATTTCTACATTTCGTCAAAAAATTTTGCTTCATACGACAATGTAGAAGATATTTTAATTGATTCTTGTAATCGATTAAGATGTCTTAAGCCACTTGAGAGGTCCCTTAAGCAAGGACGAAACCGGTCGTGGTATGCTTTCTAAATTGCAGTAGTATTCACGGTGACATTCCAATAGAAACGCTAGAAAAACCGGTGTTATATTGTTTTTGTTAAACCTGTAACATATCTGAAAGATATCTAAAGTATGAGAAGTACACAATTTCATGAAAAGATTTAGCTTAGAGAATAATAATGAATTAAATAATGAATATGGTAGAGTGAGTGTACATATTGCAAAGAAGAGTTCATTTTTTGTTTCGATCGCTTTCTCTCGTCTCACCAAATGGTTTCAACTCTGTCTTTTCTACAACGAAAATTTCTTCGTGTTCGCCATGTTCGAATGATGACTTATTCTCTAAAGATAGCACAATTTTGTTGTTTTCTCGGCTATATATCACACAATCCGAAGACAATCTCGCCCATGTGACAATCAGCAGTATCGAAACAATGATTGATTAATCAGAGTTGCCACTTGCTCGTTTCCAGTTTGGCCAAAGGAATTATCTTGAGTCCATGAAGATCGCAAAATTCCACACTCGGCCGACTAGTTTTCTTTTTTTCGATTCAACGAAAACTGGTTGATCAGAATTTTTCGATTTCGACTCAGGCCCGATTGATCAGCCTTCGTGTACCTGAATTCAAATCGTAACCAAAATAATCTTACCGAAATTTTGTCAACCGAAATCTGTGAGTCGCATTGAAGAAGTGAGATACTTCTTGATTTCGTTTCTGTTCGTCAGCGGCACAATCTCGCCCTTTTTTCAAATAACCCGACGACAGAACTGCTACAATCCAAAAACTTCCAGAACAGATTCGAATTCCAAAAAGCATCAGATGCTTTCATTCTTAGATCTCTCACTTGCGATTAAAGATGGTGGCGATATGTGTGTATAGAAAATTTAATTTACTCATATTCGCCAATTTTATGCAAAATATAATACCGTCAAAGTCATCTGATGAGACAATTCAACAAAGAAGACATTTGTATCAAAGCAAGCAAGACTCGCAACTATCATAAACACCTCTATCCTGTCCACAAAAGGCTCTTCATTTTCGGAGACCTATTCTACATTTCAATACATATCCACATACCCAGTTTATGTTCTCTACGTTGCGATCATTTGAACAATTATACCAGACGTGGAATCATCTGATGTATCCCAGAGAAACTACGACATCAATCATGCCAGCTAATTCAAATTATTGCTGAATAATTTGAATATTCCATCAGACATAGTCTTCAATGTTTACCACCACAGATATATCTTGTTTCGGATTTTGTTCAAAAACTTCAAAATACATAGGCCACTTGAGAAGTCCCTTAAGCAAGGACGAAACCGGTCGTGGTATGCTTTCTAAATAGTTCTAATACTTCTTCAAATTATTGGAGAGTTTAGAATTCTTATGTAATAATAGATTGTAAACATGCCTGATGATTGAACCCTTAAGCAAGGTTCGAAACGCGTCGTGTGATGCTCTCAATCTCAAAATCTTTAATAATAAAGGTCGAAACCGGTCGTGGCACTGCTTAACTAATTTTATAATTTTATTATTCTTTCAAAATTTCTACATATCCTCAAAAATGAGTTTCATAGGACTATGTAGAAGATATTTTAATTGATTTGCGCAATCGATTAAGATGTCTTAAGCCACCTGAGGAGACCCTTGAGCAAGGTCGAAACCGGTCGTGGCACTGCTTAACTACATATCCTCAAAAATGAGTTTCATAGGACTATGTAGAAGATATGTCAATTGATTCTTAAGTGTAATCGATTAAGATGTCTTAAGCCACCTGAGGAGACCCTTGAGCAAGGTCGAAACCGGTCGTGGCATTTGCTTTTCTACTTGGAATTATATACCTTGTAGAATTTAGGTGTCATACTTGGATTCAAATTTATTATTAACTTTGAATCGCTTAAAGTTGATGCTTCTGCCACTTGATAAGAATTTGAGACAGTAACATCGAAATAATCTTAAGGTTATCGTGGTAGCTTTATCACACCCACACCCCACACCCACACCCACACCCTCGATTAAGATTATAGTTTAAAGTTAATTCTACTTGAAAATTTTACATGTGCAAGTGTTAAAATAATTTTAATTATTATATCGAAAAGTA